GTATAGGCCATAGGGTGTTCCGGGAAGGCCATTATATGTAGATACACAATACCAAAATTGTACATTCAGCGCGCGCGCTAATCGACCGAACTCAATAACTGTTCTTGACACGTGTTATACCAAAGCGCAATTTTTACCCGTCATGAAACAATTTTTGTCATTACCGCGTGAATTTTCTCAGTTTCCTAATTACCTTGCCGCTCTTAAAATAATGGAAACAATGAAACGTAGAGCATTATTTATGACATCATAAAATATCATTCATTAATACATTATTCTAATCAATATATTTCGATAAAAAAAAAACAGATTTTTATGTTATAATAAATTTAACTTATAATTACTCACTTGTTTAATTATTCTGCGCTTAATTATTCTACATGCTAGTCTTTAATTACTCCGTATACTGTATATGAGAGTGATCAATAATTTCCGCGAATAAATATATATATATATATATATAAAACATAAAATATAAACATAAAATCTAAAATTAAACAACAATAAGTGACAACACAAGCAAAACGAGACTTACCTTCTCTCGCTTTCAGGTACACGGTGTTCGCAACAATGTTCTCCAACTCCATCAATTCCAGCTTGATCGGATTTTTGTGGCCGAATCGGGTGAGAGAAGAAGAGGCCTTGTAGTCGATGGCGATGTCGGTGAGCGACGTCGGCAGAGAACGCGACGATAGCCGTGAAGTCGATCGCTGGGAACACGTTAGATTGTTGTCGCACGGAGTTGATGGGACTTCTATCAGACAAGCTCCCATTTGCGTCCCCGCGGACACTACCGGAGTCTATAATCGGTCCCCTTTCAGAGAGGATCAAACAGAGATCCGCGTATCTCTTCGATGTACCTCAATATGGAAGCACCGTGACTTACGAATCTCAATGCTGCGTCAGACGGTTCTCTGTTCGATCAATCGACGGGCTGGACTCATTTGAAATCGATTCGACTCCCAGAAGAGAAGTGAGCCTCGAGTGAAGACGCGTTCATGCGATCAGTAGCTCCTTGCTTCGATAGTAGTTCCTTGAAGGAAAAACAGCATTTGTTTTTAGATTAATTTGCGCGAATGTGAGAAGCGAGTAATTTCGAAAATGTTCTCGCTTGGAATTAGGCTAATTAGGATAAGTAATCCCGGTGCACAGAGAAATTGTTGAGCCTCGATCGAGGAAAAATAGAGCGCATCGCCAAGTAAACGGTAAAGATTCCGGTTTTACTAATTGCTGGATAATTTTATCAGTCTGGGACCTCTTCTATCTTAATAGGCAATGTCAAATAATGTGCGCATGTTACAGAAGAAGCTTTATTGCCGTTGATAGATCACTCAGTGGATCCACTGAATCCCTGAATTTGATGGAATTAGATCGCTCGACACTCAAACTCGTCCGCATGGACCGCATAGTTCTTTGCTGTTGAGCCCGCGGCGTTTAACAATCGGCCAGCAATCGTCGATCCTTACGGACATTCATCGACTCTTCCTCAATCGAATATTCCATCAATCCTTTTCTCGACAAAGACGGCGTCTCGCGAAGGCGTCTCGCGAGCATCGCGACAAGCGTGCTCTTTCACTACGGTCATTCAGATAGGATTTCTATCATCAGAATTGTATTATAGCGAATAAGAAAGAACGGTCGGTCGAGGGATTACTTGGTCAAAGAGTGAGAGTATATACCGACGTGACTTAAATTTGCACTTAAATTCGCGTACGAGACATTAGGCGACAAGATTATCCTTTTGAAGAATACGTGTATATAAAGCGCACTGTATCGAGAGGCGTTAATGGACGAAGAAAGGCTCCGGAGCGCGTGCCTCAGTGTGACCTCGCGAAAATAACGCGCGAGTCTGCCGGGATGCGTCTCAAGAGACGCACCGCGTGGAGCGAAGTATACTGCCTTTCACTCTTCTGACGCCGCGCCAGCGAATTGGACGGAGCGAGGAATCAGCCGATGAAACACGTTTACGGATAGGTGATTTTCGACGAAATGAGGAGATTCGAGCGATGACGAATTACTAGTGCCGAATTTCGGGTGCGGGCAAATTCACTCACTTCGTTCGATCTTCTTCCGTGGCGATGCTGCTTCCTCTTCTTCTTCTTCTTCTTTTTCTTCTTACGATATATACGCAGGGTGAATGACATTCGCCAAGAATGGCGGATTCCTAATGGCTCTCCTCTTCGCACATTTCATTTCTTCGCGCGCACCGTCTCGCGGATTCGCTCCCGTGCACGCGCATCCTGAAAAACAATCGCGAATTTCACTTGTGTTTACATATTACAAAAATTAACTTTGGAATTTGGTGAAGTCAAATATGCGGAAAGGCGGATCCGAATCAAGCAAAAAACAAACGAACTACTGAATATGTTCCATCTTCTTTTGGTATAGGAAAAACAAAGGAATAACTTATTACGCTTAGAGCTTTATATTTATAAGAATACGTTCTGTTTTTACATTCATATGCTGTAAGCATCAGTTCATCCTTATTGTCCATTAAATATTAAACAATGGCAAACGATACTTGTAAAGCACTGTAATAAAACGGAACGCACTCTTAGGCCGGCCACACACATTCAAGTAAACTTATCAAGTATGGCATGCGCAAGCCGCATATACAATACAATACAAATTTATTGCAATAATTATGCAGCTTTGTTACATACACGATATAAACTTGTATGTAAGCGGTTTGCGCATTTATACTTGAAAAGTTTACTTGAACGTGTGTAGAGTCGATCTAAGAGCAACGCATTACTTTTATCTGAGTGAATATTGACAACCGCGTCCTCCTATTGGTTGCTTTCCTATTGCATTTTTCTATTGGCTATTTCGACTGTCATTTTTGATCTAATTGGTCTATCATCCAATAAGCGCTTAGCAATTTTTTAATATGATATGATTATTACGCAAACATAGCAGTCCTTTACGCTATTCTTATATGTAAAGCTTTAGTTATACTCGTTCATGTTCATTTGTGATTGTTCGTCTTTGTTAGCTTAATCTGGATTCAAAGAGAGTTTTTCTCAATTTATTATATTATCACTTATCGACATTTCTAGCACTCAAATCAAAAGATCCTTGTTTATATGATGGAAAATTAGATCCCGGTGAAAGGAGCTCATTTTCGTATATAATGGAACTTGTAATGTGGTAAACAAAGGATGTTATTGATACAAGACTCAATAATATAGTTTTTTAGTTTATAATGTATCAAAGATGCTCTGTGAGCAAATTTTACACTTTCGATACACCATATAGTTCAAAAACTATTCATTATGCCATGGTCTCGTCCGGATGGATAAATTATGTAGTCACGCTTCCTTACCTACTTAGCTAACAGTATTCACAGTTCTGAGTAAAGAAAGGCCGAGCCGAGAGGGCGTGTGTGGCCCTCTCAGCGGCGCCACAGGGCTCCCATAGCGCCATGCGCGCGCCTCTTCATTATGTTTTCTGTTCCCACGAGGTTAACAGTGTTTTTCTTGTTTATATTTGTTCTGAATTTTTACTTGTGTATAATTGTTCTGAATTTTCCGGTATGCCGAAACACAGAGATCGCTCGGCGGGAAGTCGCTCGCCGAGCTCAGCGAAAAGTAAGCATAGGCGTAGATCCCGTAGCTGTGGATCGAGATCGAGAATCGGTAAACATAACCGATCGTCAAGTCGATCTTCGAGGAGATCTTCTAGGTCTCAGGACAGATTGTGGAATGCGCTATACGAATTCACCGATTATATGTGTCATCGTGGCGTCCCGGCACTCGGCGAGGTGCCGGTAGACATACAAAGATCGGCGAGTCTTGTCCCTCCTAGGGACACCACGTTATTTCAGACGACCCGAGCGAGCTTTTCGATATGTCAGAAGAACGCATATACGAGCAGACGGCCCTTAGTGGCCGGGGCGGCGCACCAGCGGATCTACCGTTAACTCAAACCGAGATATCCGAGCATGTTTCTCTAGTGGATCCACCAACAATTCCAAACTCCCAGGATAACGACCTTGAGGAGGCAAGTCAGGAACCTGACGCTTTTGCAGATTTATTTGACAAACAAAATCAGCCGCTTGTCACACCCTCTTGGACCCCTCGTATGCTAGCCTTCATTAAAGCCGAGGTTAGGTTGGGTCTCAACGAAAAGCTCAGAAATAAGCTTCTTTCTGACTATCGGCCGAAAGAGGATTTGGCGTTCCTAACCCCACCAAAGGTAAACAAAGGAATTTTACCAAATTTAGGTGCCACGGTGCTAGCGCGCGACAAGCACCAAATCCAATCGCAGGCACAACTAGGAGCATCTCTCAAGGCCATAGGTTCTGGCATGTCAGACATATTGGGGTCGGAAGCTTTCCGCGCATCAGCGGAGAATAAAACCGCAGTCACAAAAATTGCAGACGGATTACACCTCTTAGCTGATCTTCATTTTCGCCTATCTCAATCGAGGAGGGCCTTTATAGTCCTCTCGCTAAATTTCTTGGGCAAGACCGCCTCGGACTCGGCTCCTATCGACGACTGCCTTTTCGGCAGCAACTTTGCAGAGGACGTTAACGCTGCGCAAACTGTTGAAAAAGTGGCACGAAAAATGGCCAGGAAACCTCCCCAAACGCAGAAACAGCAAATGCGACAACCATCGCTGCAGCGCGCTAAGCCGCATAAAAATCAACCTCTACGAGATATTCAACCTAATCAGGAAAACTACAAGCCCCCTCTTCGCAAGACACAAGCTGCGCATCGGTCGAGGAGGGGTTCCACTTATCCGAACCGCAGCAGGAGATCACCGTCTCGGTCCAGAGCGCGGAGCCGTCGCTAGCTCCATCCCCATCAGCTGGTCGACTGGCTCTCTTCGTCGATGAATGGAGAGAGATAACTTCAGATCCCCAGCTACTACAGGCGATACAGGGTTATCGGATTCCTTTCACTTCGAGACCACCACCTCGTCTTTGTTTAATTAAGCCATCCTTTTCTCCGGTTGAAAGAGAGAATTGTGATAACGAGGTAAAACGCTTGTACACCATGGGAGCAGTAGTTATCTCCAATCCATCAAAGGACCAGTTCCTGTCCTCTTTCTTCCTAATTAAGAAGTCATCCGGGGGGATGCGGTTTATATTAAATCTGCGAGATCTAAACGCTTACATCTTGCCCCCACACTTTAAGATGGAGGATTGGCATACGGTAGTTCGACTCATGCTACCAAATTACAGAATGGCGTCTGTAGATCTCCAAGATACATACTTAGCAATTCCAATACATCCTTTGCACAGAAAATTTCTCAGATTTCAATGGCGAGGCGTAGTTTACGAATTTACGGCCCTGCCGTTCGGTCTTGCTACAGCACCATATATATTTACAAAGATTACACGTCCGATTGTTACTATCCTAAGAAAACAGGGTTTTCAGTCTGTTGTTTATTTGGACGATTTTTTGCTTTTAGGTGCTTCGGAAGAGGAATGTCGAGAAAATGTGAATGTATCCTTAGAGCTTCTATCACGTTTAGGTTTCCTCGTTAACTACGCCAAGTCACAGATGTCACCCTCTCACACTTGCAAATACTTGGGTTTCGTTTTCGACTCGGTTCACCAGTCACTGTCCATCCCACATGACAAGAGACAGAAACTTTTATTATTGATGCTTGACATGTTAAAAAAGGCTCAATGTTCCATCAGAGAATTTGCAAGCATGATCGGCTCTTTAATATTTTGTTGTCCCGCAGTCCAATATGGCATTTTCTATATAAAGAGATTTGAGAGAGAGAAATTTCTGGCTCTGGGATCCGATTATCAAAATTACGATAGGCGAATGGTAATCCCTACGTATTTAAAGGAAGATTTTGAATGGTGGATCCGGATTTTTTCTAACACGCGTCAGGCCAACACCATTTGTACAGATCTTTTCAGGTGCGAAATTTATTCAGACGCCTCCATAACAGGTTGGGGAGCCTCATGCGGAGAGTTACATACGCACGGGTGGTGGTCGACAGTTGACGCCTCTTTACACATTAACGCGTTGGAACTTAAAGCCGCATATTATGCACTAAGGTCTATAGCCGTGAATCTTAAAGACTGTAATATCCTCTTACGAGTAGATAACACTACCGCTATAGCATATATAAATAATTTCGGTTCGGTTCAGTATCCTGTTTTATCAGACTTAGCCAGAGATATCTGGAAATGGTGCGAGGATAGAAACATATATTTATTTGCCTCATACATTGCCTCGGTTGATAATGTCATCGCGGATACAGAATCGAGAAGAACAAACGTCAACACCGAGTGGTCTTTATCAACGCAAGCGTTTAACCTAATAGACGAAAGATTCGGCCTCTTCGACATCGACCTCTTTACCTCCGCAATTAATAGCAAAAACAACCTTTACGTCTCTTGGCTTCCCGACCCGGGCTCTTGGGCAACCGATGCGTTTATACTATCCTGGAATAGTTTTTATTTTTACGCCTTCCTCTCTTTCATCCTTATTCCCAGAATTCTCAGTAAGATAATTGATGAAGGAACTACGGGGGTTTTGGTAGTACCTTGGTGGCCATCACAATCATGGTTTCCATTATTTACGCGACTACTGATTTCCGAGCCCTTAATATTGCAACCTTCTCACCGTTTGCTGTTTTCTCCCTTTAGGAAACCTCATCCAGAGTGGAGGAGCCTTTCCCTGGCGGCAGGGAAATTATCCGGAAAGCATTTCAATCCCAGGCGGTACCGTCGACAGCCTTGGATACCCTTATAGCATCGTTGGCCCCATCTACGATCAACCAATACGCCCGCCCGCTGCGAGACTGGTGGAATTTTTGCCAGACGCACGGAGTGTCTCTGTTCTCTCCTGCAGTGGACCAGGTTTTAACATTTTTAGCCCAAGAATTACAGAAGGTCGGCTCTTATTCAACATTAAATACCACTCGCTCCGCGGTCTCGCTTATCTCAGAACACGCGATTGGCAATCACCCTCTAGTTAAGCGTTTTTGTAAGGGGGCCAGTAGTATCAAACCGCAAAGCTCCAGATACGACTTTGTATGGGATCCGGCACCTGTGATTTCAAAATTAGCAACTATCTATCCATATGACCCCCTGCCTTTGGAGATCATTACGAGGAAGTTAGTCCTCCTTTTAGCGCTAGGATCAGGTCAACGCGCTCAGTCTCCCGCTGCAATCAGAATCTCGTTTATCTCATTCGCCACAGACAGACTTACTATTAGAATCCCGGACCGCATCAAAACCTCGGCCCCCGGTCGAGCACAACCCCTCATCACTTTCATTCGTTTTCGAGATCCAGAGCTTTGCATTATCTCTATCCTACAGCACTATTTATCTATCACCAGAGACTTACGCCCAAACGGTTCCGACACCCTTTTTATTGCGTGCGTCAAACCTCACATGCCAGTAGGTATCCAGACTGTAAGTCGGTGGATTCGCAAGGGCCTCGAAGAGTGTGGAATACAGGGCAGAGATTTTTCGGCTCACAGTACCCACCATGCTTCCACATCCCTTGCGGCTAAGAAAGGAGTTCCTATCGACTTGATCAAACGAGCGGCAGGCTGGTCCGGTAAATCTTACAAGGGATCATCTCGGTTTGTACAAGTTATTGAAAATGCTTGATATCAGCGAAAGTTGATAACATAAGATGCAAATAAGGAAAATGGCGGGACCGGATATGCCGTGGGTTCCGAGAAATTTAGTGTTATAATGCATGGTAAAAGTTTTAAAAAAGGGCTAATATCTAAAAAAAGGTAAATCAAATATTGATTTATCTAAAAAATGTTTGAAATAAAAGTAATAGAATTTTTAAAAAGTTATCAGATGATGATATTAATTTGACCTTAGAATGACCTTGGAAAGTGCTTTCAAGGTTAACACAAAAATCTTAAACGGTACTCCCTATTTTTCATAGTGTCACGAGTGACATTGCACAAACATGAAAGGTAGAGCGTTAATATACGAGGTATGATCAAAAAGTAAGGTGACGTTTTGAATTTCGCGCGCTCTGTACACTCTAATTTCAAAATTTTTTTTTGTTGTGTTGGTACACTCGTCACGATCATATGTTCACAGTTTTGACTATATAGCATGTGTTGT